CTAATTCGACATAAATGCGACTGATTATCGTCTTCGGGGTTTGGAAATCCTATAATATCTGTTAGATAATGAATGAAAAAATCAATTATTACAAGAGGATACGAATTTTTACGCAGTTTCTGTCGATTAATAATTGATTAGGTTATGTGAATTTATATATAATAACAGAAGTCCGATTATTATTTTATTTTCTATTTTCTACAAACGATGTGTATGTCGATTGAAAAGTCTTTGTCACTATTTTCTTAACCATTTTCGAATTTCTTTTAGCAATCTCCTGTATCAGACGTAAAATCTTCATTTCAAATCTATAATATATAATCTATAAGCAATAGGTAATATAGAATTTATTTTTTTTCTACCTCATTACTATTAAAAATGTTTGATGATAAAAGTCTACGTGAAAGCACAAAGTAAAACATGTTCTCAACCAGTAAGAAAGTTTAAAAAATTGAAAGCACGAAATGCTCGATTTTACGTACAATAGCAATTTGAACGTTTTGCTTGCGGTTATTATTAAAAGAATATCAAAATTTTATACTTAAAGACAGAAGCAAATATGTAACGATTGGTTTTCAAGTAACTCGGAATCCCTTGAGACTACACGAATCTCGTCAATTTTATCGATTGTAATAATAATTTGAGAGATAAAAATTTTCGAAACTCTATAACTCAATGACACTTTTCTCTAATGAAAATATTGAATATATTCATTGTCTATGATCGGTGTTTTTTTTTTTTTGCTTTTAAATTTTAGAATGAAATAAATATCGATTATTTATTCACAATGAGAATAATATTATTTATAAAATTATGAAATTGATATAATTTGACAATCCTTAGCAATAATTTGGTGTAATTAGATCGAAAGTTTTCCATTTCATCAGTAGTTAATGAATATTTAATCATTAGGACAAATATAAAGATTATTTCTATCTTCAATTATCCGAATAAAAGAAGTTTGAAAAACAGATAAAATGCTATATATATATATATATATATATATATATATATATATATATATATCGATTGATTATTCAATTGCATACATAGTTATTAATAATTTAAAAAGTATTTAGTTCAAATGAATGTTTCGATTTTCAGTATCAGACCTCTAAGCTGGAGTAATTTGAAAAATAATTTTTACTTAAAAAATGTTGTGTCAAATTGCTTTTTATTTAGACGACTACAGAGCTAAATCCCTTACAAGCAAACATAATTTAATTACAATCGTTGAAATTGAATGATCCTAATTGAAATACCAACATTACAAATTGTAAATTTCTTCTAGATTCTAGATCTTTTATACATTAGCACACCGTACTTAGCAAAAAATTCTTTATAAACTCTATGAACTTAATTTAAATTAATCTATTCTGACTTTGATCTTCACTGTATATTATACTTGCATATAAAATGCATATCGAGGCGAAAGAAAGAGAAAGAGGAATATGAAATGGCATGTCTGTAAAATAAAACGAAATGATATATTTAAGGAAGTTTTTGATTGAGACTTTCTTGCCTTATCAATATGGCAGATAGTAAAGTACATGCATCAATCGTTCGATAACTTTATTTTTTATACGATATATATATACAGTGATATTTTAATAATTTACAAGTTAATAAATGAATTCTGTTTTTTTTTTTCATTTAATCGGAAGTTTAGCTATCATCTCTTCTATAAATTTTCACAATTTTTAAGAAGAAAAGATTCCGTAGGATTATTAAATTTATTCAATATAATTCAAATTTACAAACTACATTTGGCAATTTCCTATTAAATTTGAAATATTTTCATTCTTAATATTCACAAGGATTTCTAGTATTTAAGATGAATATTATGAAATTTTCTTTTTAATTGTGCATATTCATCAGAAAATTTTACGAGAAGAATTTTAATAAAAAGTTTATAATATAAATATATATTTTTCAAATCAAAATTATTTCTCTTGACACAAATACTATTTTCAATAGACGATCTCATCCATGATCAAATACAATATTTTTTATTAACTAGAGTATCTATTTTAATGTAATGTGCCGTATCAATCACATTTAAATATATATTTTATTCGATAAAATCGATGTATTGAAGAATAGTATAAGGTTTTGTTAAACGTATCTTTTTTTTTTATATTATATTGAATAATTTTATTTGTATCAAGTATAATAAAATACTTTTCATTTATAATAAGAAGAAATTACTTATTTATTTAAAAAAAAAAAAAAAAAAAAAACATATTAAAGAAACCCTTTATATCATAAAAATAATCGGTTTAATTATATATTCAATTGACAAAGCCAATGAAAAAAACATTTAAAAGAGTTTCGGCTTCTATGTGAAATTACTGTACAATTGTTAGAAACTTTAAAATAGATGAGCGAACATTAAAATAGATAATTATTTCTAAAATAATTATTGTGTAAACAATAATATTTATATGCGTTTAATACTAAATATACGATTATTAAATATTTCAACATTCAATATATTAAATAACTTCATTTAGCTTCGTTAAAATATTTCATATATCCAAAAAATTTAAGTATAAATAATTGCAAGTAGAAAATATTTAACATTTCACATTCAAGCAGATACAATAAAATTTTTCTTACTATATAATAAAATGGCTAATTTAGAGTATCGATAGCTCCTATGATATTGCACATTTACATAATTTTATGAATAATATAAAATTCATTTTGTTATAACGATATTCCACATCTTACTTCAAATAATCATTTTTATAATTTATATATCACAAAATAATTCAAATAATTGTAAATAAAATATTGTTTATTCGAATGAAATTCATCTTTAAGTAGTAAGAGATTTTCAATATTTACAATTAAATATTTACAATTGATACAGATACAATAACGAATAAAATTATTGCATCAAATTCCAATTAAATTGGAGATTTCGATTCTTGACAATTAAAAATAGTTGAAAATTAAGAAAGATATATATCTTTGTAAAATGAGTTAACTAGATCAATCTTTGTTAACTAGAAACTTCAATTTGATATTATTTGTTAAAATGTCCATAATTTTTATTACACTATTTGTTATTAATGTGTCTACTTTTATGAAGTAATACCAAACATAATTAATAATTAATTACGAGCATGTTTATGGATAATATGTTATAAATATTGTTATAGATCTTGTTATAGATATATATGTATATATACTCTTTATATTTCTATAACTTTTTAAAATAATAAAAAATATTTTACAATATCATATAAATTTTCTCTTACCAGGTATATTTATAAAATAATATATCATAATAAATTTAATTATATTTCAGCATTACAAAGTTTGTGTAGACTGTTCTTTATCCTGAAAGAAATCTAAAATTATGACAATTATTTATAATTCTAAAACTATTAATAACACCTTCTTGCAACTATACGAAGTCTATACAATTTAAGATATTTTTATAATTAAAATTTTCCTAAGTATAGAGTATTATAGGAAAACAATTAACTTACGAGATACTTTATTAAGGAAATTTTAATAAATATTAAATAGTTAATTATGTAGAACATAATTGTATAAAAATTACTTTGAATTACAAACTTTTTTTATGTAAAATAATCCTACAATTATATAATTGAATAAAACTCACTATTTCACTTTCTACTACTTTTAATAAATAGCAATTTTGATTAAAATTGTTTTTAAAAGATATGTGTCTTACCATAGACATTATATGTACTTAATATTAATACTTTTATAAGTACTATGTAATTTTTATTAATATAATTTTTTAATATTTTTTTTTTATTATTAATTCTATTCATAAAAAAATTCTTCACAACGAAATTTATAAATATTTAAATTACTTTTAACGATAGGAATAAAATTGTTATCTATAGCAATTCTTTTGCTACTAGTTTACTTTCTATTTTTTTTTTTTTTTTAATTAATCAATGGTTATTATATCGGAAAAATGCTTTAACTGTATTATAATTAAGTACTAACATAACAATAATTCTGTAATGTATTAAGTATTTTACAGTTTATTCATCTATTTATTTTTTAACTCTGAATATTTATGCAAACAATTTCATAATGAATTGTCGTAGTTTAGTGTTACAAATTGTGTAAGTGTAATAAAAAAAATATAATATAATATATTAATTTTTTTATTTGTTTTTTTTTGTTTTTTTTTTTTGTTTTTTTTTTTGTTTTTTTGGTGCCGTATATAGCACTCTAGCATACTGTTTTTGAACTTTTGAAGTAATTTCCATATTTCTACATGCTTGCGAGTTTTCTTTTTCATCTTTCTTTGTCGTTTGTTTTGAAAAATATATTTTTCCAGCTATACACAGTACGCATTCTTTGGTATTAATATTAGGTTCATATAAATATTATAACAATACCCTACATAAATAACTCGCATTTATTCATTCTCCAATATGCTATGTGAGTGGTTGCAATTAATAATATTTTAGACAAGAATAACAATAGTTTTGAAACTTTTTTCTTTAATGTGAAAATCATATTGAAATTATTTATGATAAATTTTAGCATAAAAATGTAAGAGTATAACGGTGATAGAAGTGTAAAAATAGTATATGAGTAACAAAACACATAACCTGCCTTGGCAAACAATAATCTTGCCATTAAAGTAGTTTGAACGAAATTTAGTAATAATAAATAAATTTAGAAAAATAACTAGACTTTCTATAAACTTTAAAACCTTCACTAACTCCGCTAAATATTTTAAATAAGGAAACTTTGCGTTAGGTCCTTTATATCCTAACTCACTTAAAAGAATTCGAATAATGGAATAAAATAATCTCGCATCATTGAAAATAACGAAAAATTTTTCATATTACAAATGTTTTATCTAAAGTTAAAAATTCCATTTTCTTCGTGTTATCACTCCGCATATAATCAATACATGCACACATAAATTAATATTTTAAGTTAGCATTAGAATTTAATACGGACTATAACGAAGGCATTATGTTTTTCTGTTGCAGGAACATATTTCATACTTTATGACTTCATTGACTATTTCGATAAAGATAATCCGAGCTCACTGGATCGCACGAAGTTTCTCCAAATTATCAATACAATTTTTAAAAATATGTCGAGCATTGAGAGAGAAGCCATCGCCTTCCAGGTAAATATAGAAAAACTGCATATCTGCAATTCATAATTTTATAAAATCATATATTTAATAAAGATTTATCAGCGTATTAAAATTTGATATTCATTTTTAATTTCTCATCTAATATAAAGTACACACGAATTTGCAAGAATAGAATAAATGATTAGATTATCCGAATATTGTAATTACTGAAATACTTTAGCAAAGCCATAATTACAATCGCTTAATTATTCATTCTCCTTATGCATTCTTAAAGATAATAAATTTTTCTAAAATTATTATTAATGTTTGCAATCTAATTATTGTGAAATATGAATAAAAAATTTTAATTAACATTGTATTATTAAATTTTTCATTTATATCAAATTATTTATTATGCCGATGTAAAATATCTTGCAATAAAATGGTAGTTTATAAAATTGAAATTTTATCAATGCTATATTCTTTACTTCGACGCTGCCTTTAGTGTCAAGAGTACGTACCATACAAAGTAAAATAATTTCACAGAATAATTTCCAATATGGTTTAGAATTAATTTTCCTATCGCGGTGTTCTGAAGAATTCTTAAAAAAAAAATATATATATATTGATATTCACTATTATTCGAATTATTATGCTAATTAATTTATCTTCAAGAAATTATAATCTATACCTGCGTGTGTGTGCGTGCGTGCGCGGACGTGCGCATAGGAAGTAATTATTACTAATATATAATAAACGGTATGTATTTAATAGAAAAGTCTGTACTATCGGTTATTTATTGACGAAGTGTAAATTATTATTAAATAGCGACATGCTTCGAGGACATTCAGTCCCACCACAGATTTATTTTTCCTTTGACCGATGCGTTTATGAATTCTTGGGGGAATATGTGCTGTCAGCAAGATAGCTCCGCGTGCAGCTTCTCCGCTAAGTAGTGACGACAAAGGTGACGGAGACAGTCCCAAGAAAAACGTAGGAGAGTAAGGATGAAGATGAAGGGTCGAAATGTGATTGGTATGATCTGGCTTTAGCCAAACGGATAAAGATGGGCGTGTCGGGTTTGCATGAACGGGGGAACAAGGAGATATCGCAGAAGATGGAAGATCCGTGAAATTCTGTTAAATAAACAGGACATTACTACCATAGTACATAGTAGGAAGCTCCTACTTCTCTCGTCTAGCCAACATAAAGTCGCTCATCAACTATGGCGATGAAAGCTTTGCCACAGAACATTAAGCTACGATATTTTAAATTTGCCTTTACGAGAGCAATAAGCGTGGCGAACATTATTCTAAATTTATTTGATTGACAACTGTTTATAAAAATGTATGAGGTCAAAATATAATCAGTTAAGAAATACATAATTAATTTAATTAATTCACCCATATGCGATGATTATAATTATTGTTGAATAATTATAATTTAAAATTTGGTGAACTTGAATTATGATTTCTTTGAGTTTTTTGTTTTTTTTTTTCATTCTTGTATTAAAAATATAATATTTTTATCCTTACATTTTTAAATCCACAAAAAAAAAAAAACAATGTACTTTTGCAATGAATAGAATTCATAAGTCGTTGGATTAAATGTAATAATGTTTTACAATAATAAATTTCGTTAATCAATAACGTATACTATAGCAATGAAATAATTAATAATAATATGAAGAAGAAGTGGATGATGAAGCAATTGATTAATTATATACTTTACGCATCTATTAAGCATATGTTAAAATTTTTATTATAAGTTTAATTATCATTTAGTCATTCTGAGTGCCGAAATTTATTAACAACTGATGTAAATGAGAATTATATGAATGCGAAATATCATTAAAGGAATTAAAAGCGTTAAAGGCGTCTCTTCCCTCGATCCCTCGACTCCATTCATTAAAACTATTTGAAAAAATTAATTTCATTCGAAAAATAGATCATATGTTTTTTGATGCCCTAGTATTTGAATACAATAGTTTTATGTTTGAAGATAAAACCAAAAAAAAAAAAAAACAAAAAAAAAACAATGAAACGGAAAATAAAAGACTTATTTTATCAGAATACTACTACGGCTTTAATCTTTAAAAATATATTAACATAATATCTACATCTCCTCGATCTCTTCAATATCAGATAATACTGCATTTACCTTTTCTGTCTACATTATCATAGACAGTATTTTAGAAGCATTATATTTTCTTTCAGTTTCTTCGAGAAAAAACATCTCGAGCATGATTCTGTCATACTATTTTAGCCTTACTTTTTGCGTATTTGAGTATTTGACAGTCGATGTTAGCATTCATCATCTTTTTCTTCCTTTATTTAAGAACTATTCTACAAAAATGATATCTTTTTTCTTACCATATTTCATCTCTGTGTTGTATCAATCAAATTGTCTTTCTCTGAACAAATTATGTAAGCTTATCTTCCATTTGTTTTTCTTATATTGATTATCGCTTATAACATTATATAATGTATTCAGTAAATATTATTTGTCTAAATTTTGTGCTAAGGTCCACTCAAATCAATCGGTATTTCCATTATATCTAGGTAAGCCAATGATATTTTCTAAGAATATTTTATAAAGATGATGAAAATGTTAAAAATTCACAAAAAGTACACAAAAATCCAATCGATTGATGAACGTTGAATGTTTATTTTAATTAATTTTAGCAGAGACATGCATTTTGTAATCTTATACTGTAGATTTAGTCTCATATCATATAATATAGTAGCATTTTTTTACACTTCAGAACTAACTACCTCCCACATTAAATTATTCTTAACTTTGTAAATTAAATACATGTTTTAAGAAATAGCATGAAATAAATACGTTCCAATTACTTCAAAACCTCTCAAATATCTTATAAAATCCTGAGTTCCACTGTACTTTTATGACATTGTTTTCCTACGTTATTCGTGCAAATCCGATGTAAAAGAATTTATCGCCTCGTTTGTATTAATTTTCTAGTGACGCGTGGAAGCGCGTATGAACGAGTAAAATTCCCAGCTGTTTTGAAATGTAATGGTATTTTGTTTGGATACTTTGCGCCCTACCAGCATTAATCAAATGCATCTCATAATTCTATTTTGGTTAGGTGGAGAGTGAGAACGAAGGAGTGCAAATATGAGATCTTTATGAAAATAAATGCCATGCCATAGGAAAGTATTATAGATGCCTCATTGCCTAAATTGAAAGTGTTGTTCAGGTGATCTTGTAAGTCACAGGTTCAGTGGGACAATATCGTGTAGTGTAGACAGTATCTTCTCTAGTGGACACACTATCATGCTCATGGGTTCTATTCGTGTGTGCGTACGTAGTTTCTTGACAATTTTTAGTCGAAACTATCCAAGGAGCAACGGGGATAGGAGGAAGATTGTCATTCAAGAAGGTTGGAATAGCAACCTCGTAAATGGTACGAAGACAAGCATTGACGAGATAAAATAGAGTGGCCGATGTCGGAGGTTAAGAGTAAGAGTAAGAGTAAGAGAGAGAGAGAGAGAGAGAGAGATAAGTTTATGCACAAGTTTTTAAAAATGCTTTTCTATCTTTTTTACAGAATCGCTTATGAAAATTTCACCTAAAGCAATAGCTACAAGTGACGCATTTTGAATTTATTTAGTTATCAAATAAAAGAAAAGGATTACATCTTTTCCAATACTCTACAACCTCTACGTGAATACCTTATACGTTGCCTTGCGCATGTGAGTTGAATAGTTGTTGCAGTAACATATGCGAGACTTGCGAATTGTGAGCGATAAGCGCGAAAGCAGACGTTCAAGATGCATTTTGCGTTTTTCACGAAGTTCCTGCATGTTCGTCGTCTCTATACTTACGTTATAAACCTTCTAAAATATATGTTCAATTTTTTAAAGTCCTTGCATCATTAAATGATAATATCGATTTTTAAATTATTATGTTCTAAAAGTAGTTTATAATATTACATATGTAATCATCGATAAATTTATTATTTACATTCTTATATCTTATCTAGTAAATGAAGAAAGAACATCAACGTAAATAATCAATGGGCAACTTAATAAAATATCTACAATAGGAGATTTAATGTTATAATTAATTTTAGCCATTAGCGAAGAAAAAATGTACGTACAAGATATGTGTCTCCATCTAAATTTAACAATTTTTTTTTGTTTTTTTTTTTGTTTTTTTTTTTGTTTTTTTTTTTTGTTTTTATACTAAATATAACAAATTACAAATGTAGTCACCATGACAAATTTTAAATTCTGCAAAACACTATTATATTCATGTTTAGTCAAATGAATTATTGCCGTCAGATAATTGTTAATAATTATTTAAAGCAGTATAAGTTAATATTTTTATAGAGATCTTAACGATTGCGCCATTCGCTTAATAATTACACACCATTATTATTCGAATAATTTTAAAACTAGTTATTTTTAATTGTTGCACGTAAGTTTATTTAGTTTTAAGATAATTAATGAGGTCAATTTTTAATTGTTACGTATCGTTAATATTGATATACACTTACATTTTTTACATCGACCATTGATTATATCGTATCGTATTATAGATATTCCGCTAAATTTATAGGTTTTAGTGAATTTTTAAGAAACACGCTAATTAGCTACTTGTAGTTTATAAATAAATTAAATATCTTAATTTTTCTGCTTATAAATTATACGGATTAAGCTTAATCGATAGACTGTTATAATGATTTTCTTTTTCACCAGTACGAATTTTTTTATAATTAATTCGTAACAATAGCATGCGCACGATTATGAATTATTTAACTAAATATTATTCATCCAAATAATCATTGTAAAATTTATCGTCAATTTTATGATCATTCAATTAATTCATCAATCATTTTATCTAAATCCGCAATATTAAGGAGCGATAATTATCTTTATTGAAATTAAACGAAATTTTGATATAGAATTTGTTTCTTATAGTATTTTGTATTTATCGTATATATATTGTATGGATTTATCATTAGTTATTTTATATTTTATATTTCTATTGTCTTGTCACATACTAATATTATCAAAGTAGTGGTG